GGGCTCATTTGACCCCCCCCCCTAAGAACTCGCGAACGGTATGTCGTATGACCACCAAATTTTCAGAGAATGGTGTACTAGTAAAATTTATCATATCTACAATTTCTATGTCGTTATGGCGTAATATGACGTCATTATGACGTCATTAATGTGATTTTATTGGCCCAAACCGTCTAAATAGGTTTTCCCCTGAAAACTAAATGGTATTCAACATAACTGTACCAAAAGTGTTTCTGACAGAATATTATGGTGTACCAAGTCTTATGTTGCCCATAGCAACACCGGTGACGTCATAAAATGACGTCATGCATATTTAAGATATCCGCCATCTTGGATCATCAATCTTGAATTTTCAAAAATAGTTTTTTTTTTTCATGACAAAGCCTAAAATACATTGTAAACATACTAAAGACCTTCATTTAAACCTTTTTTGGAAAAAGAAATGGAAGTATTGATAACATTTTAATGAAAATAACCTGTATATACCTGTTCTAATGATATGGTCCGCCATCTTGGATTTTGGCCAATGACGTCATCAAATTAGCATACATTATGCATATTCAATGATAAATTTACATAAAATTATATGGGATGTTATTAATATTATAAACCATGAGTAACTTGACATAAAACCCATAAAATTCTATTGTTGAAACAAAAAGTACTAAATTTAGCAAAAAATGCCTGTCAGAAACCCGTTGCCATGGCAGCACAAAAAATTATTATCTTATTCCAATGATAGAGAATTGTTGCCAACAATATTCTATGAAAAGTCACCAAGTTTGGCCGTTCTACGGCTAGCCGTTCAGACGCTAGGTGACATCAAAGTTGCCGCGGGCACTTTTAGCCCCCCCCCCCGTCTAGGTAGGGTTAAACGTAGTTATGTACCACCTGAAAGCAAAGCATACTCCCCCTAACGTACCCCTACCCCATGCCAAACATGGTTAAAATGTACCAATATTGAAAAAGCGTCGTCCAAGTTTGGTCGGGGGAGTGGAATAATTAGTCTCTACCAGACTAACTAAGGTATATATTTTTTTCCAAACTCCCCTTGCAATATATATATTCGCCAGGGGAGTTTGGCCGCCTTAAGGTTTGACCAGTTACCTTTCGCGGCCTTCCTTCTCCTGGTAAATTTTACTCTCCCTTTTGCCGAATTCTACGATCCTTACTCCCGTAGAAAGGCCCGGTGAAGACTAGGTTAGAATAATTCACTTGAATTCAAAGCAGCCTGTATAACCTTCCTTCCTACCTCATTATATCATAAAACTGGTTTTTAACGTGGAAGAAGTTAGATGATGACAATTTAAAAAATAGCCATTGTTCGTTATGAACTTTTTCTATACATTTGATTATAGTCTGTGAATGACAATTGTAGAGTTTGGTTTGCGTTTTTTTGCTGAAACATATGTATATAGAATATTAATCAATAGAAGTACAATATGCAAGTGCACAAACATAGTGTAGCCTTTCAATTATACCGTAAACAACCATACATAAACATTCATGAAATAGGGAGTTGAAAAAGGGAGACATTCAAAATTTTACACAATCCCACTGTTCATGAAACAAGACGAAAAAGCTAAGGCAACAACTTCAGAGCACTCTGACATAAACAAACATCCTCTTACCTGCTTTACACGAGCATGAGTAACTTATACATGGAATGTACATATACAACATCAGGTCTACAGGTACTGTAACTGTACAAGGCTTTAGTAAAAAAAAAAGAGACAAACGTTACAACATTCCCGACAAGACAAACATTAGGCGATATACACATGCACAATTATGTTTTAGGAAACCACAGATGGTGGCGTAAACAAACATTATCCTAACCACTTAACGCATTACATAAATATTATCTAGTTTTGAAGTGCAACGCAACGACTACAATGACTGTGACTACAACAAAATTAGCTACAAATGCTAAAACATCAAAACAAGTTTTTAAAAAGTTTAAGAACAAAATACAAATACAAGTATCACAATAAAGCATAGGCAAAATAGAACGTCCTAAGAAACCACAGAACGCCAGGTAAACAAACATCATCCTAGCACAATTTTGCATACAAAAAACAAAACTGGATCTACAAAAACTAGGTTAACAAGTACTGTACCAACAAAACAGCCACAAAAGCTTAAAGCAACAACACAGACCCCGCCCCCATAACAAAATAAAGATACACAAGTATCACAATACAGAACGACCAAAGCAAAAACATCAATAAGAAACCAAAGAGAATCGGATAAAATAAAATAAAAATCTCCTAACGCAAATACACTTACAACTGGGCGTACCAGTACAACACTGCATCTATAAGTACGGTAACAACAAAGCAGTCACAAGAAAAATCAATACAAATACACAAATTTTACAATAAAGCACGTAGAGAATCATTTGCTTTACCACAAATCAAAATTAAGAAACAAAGACGCCACAGAAGGTCAGAACTGCATTGTTATACAAATCCTAGCTGTAGAGGGCATGTATTGAAACATCATTTTAACAGTACATGGTTGACAATGACTCACCAAAACAAACACAACAAACATAATCATATTTACAGTTAAGTAGATACGAGTATAATTCAATACATGTGTATCGTTTCATAGGCCCCAGAGGGAATGTTGTAGATGTCATCCTTCATTAATTCCTTTATTATTATATTTTACCCAAAATGTAAAAGTAGAAAATTTTGCCAAGTCACTACTTTATTCACAATTTGATTAACGTTTGGCCCATATCAAACTACGTATACTAAAAAAACCAAGGAAGTTTAGGGAGATAAGGGGCATGGATGTAGGTGCATGTTTGGAGCCATAAAAGCCAATACACATTGAAATATTTTTCGTCTCTCTTCGGTAAAAGTCTGTTGTTCAAGTTAATAGCTGATATCAATAAAACTACATTTCAAAGTTAGAACCGTCCACTCGAAGAGTAATAAACAAATGTTTAAAAACAAAGACTTGTGATAAAGTCAGGATTTGAATGGATACATGCTGCCGTCTGCCCGCTATGCATAATTAAAGATAATTGCCTGTCATTTCCTTGAGTGAAGATGCACGGGCGAAAACAATTTTATTCACAGTCATGACGCTGGGTAAAGATTGACACTTTTAAACTTTAAAGCCCGAGACCAAACTCTTCCCATTGGGTTACAAAGTAAAGGTCGGGTGTAAACAATGCACAGAAAGTAGGTTTAAATGAATCGGTACATGTATATCTCTCCACATTCTTTGAAAGTTTTCAAAACAATTCTAAGCGGAAGGGTCCGGTCTAGGCCGATTTTATCACAATGGTCTATTATTATTATCAATTATGCAGATTTTCGAAGGAAAAAGTAATTATTTGGAATCTATGGTATTTCATCTAAGTTACTTCCAAATTGAAAGTTGATTGGTCACGCTAAACTTGAGATACATGAAATTTTACAGCTAGCTCTGCCCCTCCCCCCGTGTACACTATACGACATCCAGTAGATTTCAAGCGAGGACCAATCAGAGGGCTTCTGACAGGTCACCGACTAGCGGCTATTAGCACATTGTTTCATGTAAATGCCATGAACTCAATCAGAGCGCGTAATTGTTTCTTTAATTCTTGTTTACTTCCGTACTAAGTACTAGTACTTTCACAATTAGTTTGTAAAATCATATCTTATTAAAATCTACTTTGATGAACGAATCGAAATGGGACTGTAGACATTAAGCTTTACACATTCAAATGAGGCTGCACTTGCGCTAATGGAGTGACTAATACGGGAAGGAACGGATCCTAGCGAAGCCGAGATTTGTGAAGCAAACCCAACCCATCGAAGACGGGCCGCCAAACACAAAAATGGAGGGAAATGACAGACAACAAGCCAACAAAGACAACATCACCAGACCAAGTTGTCTGACCAACAAACTTGGAAAACACCACAGCAACTTCAAGCGCTAACGTTGTAAGAAATGTGGAACCTCAAACTACTGTGTGTTTGTTTGCGTCAGCGGAAAGGCTGCCGAAGCAACCACTACATGCAAAACTGCGGCGAAAAAGTAACATTTGTTCGTCCCAAATCTGGACGCAAGTAGTGAGGTACAAAAGTAATAGAACACATGCTGCAAACTAAAGAAATGGCAGTCCTACGAAAATTCTCTTTGTAATGTATAAGCGCTTTATATCGACGAACACTGGTTGTGAAGTACGTGTTTTCGTACGTCTTGTGCCACCGGATCAGTGGTAATTGGCTACTCTACAGGTGAAAGAACCGGGTCCGTAAATCATTCATAAATCGGTCGTCGCTAGAAATTTACTGGATGGCATTCAGTGACGACACCCCCTCCCTCTTAGGTACTAGGTTTCTAGTTTTCAATACGTTTAGCATATTTTCAATTTTGATAACCTTTCCTTACCATTTTTTCATTGCATTTTTTATCATATATATAACTAAAATAGATTCCTTGAGGTACGGAGATTCCATGATTTTTTTTTAATTTCCAACATCCGAGCCATTTTTTTTTATGTTACACTGTAAATGATAATAAAGTTTGTTAAAAAACAATGAAGTAAATCATCCAAAACATCAATAAAACTGATAGGGATATCTCATAAAGGGAGGAAAGACACTTCAAATCAGTCTTAGGCTTAACCACAAGGACTGCATCCAAGGCATAACTCAAGAGGCTCCTGTTGTGGAAGAACTGGAAATATCAACAGAGCTGTTCACCCAAAGTAAACTGGAGTCAGTTCTTAGATCTCTTTCTGACAACAAGTCCCCTGGGCTAGACATTTAGAAAGACAAATTCCTAAAGAACCTTCTCTTTTATTTGTGAAACCAAACTTTCATATAGCATAGCATCACCATAGCAAAAATGAGGAATTTTCCCATCCTCCAAAAGGTAAGCTAACATCTACCACTAACTATAGAGGGATCAACCGCATGCCCTTCGGCTGGTAGGCGGGTAAGTAAAATAAACTTTTACCTAATTACCTAACATTTAGCCTGTAATTGATCCTATTCTTAGGAAGAATCAGAATTGTTTTAGGGAGTTCAACTACTTCACAGATTCTAGAAAAAAGCCCTATAATTTAAAAGATGAATAGATTAAATAGATATTTTGTATTCCCTTTTTTTGATTTCTGTAATTTGATTGATAGAGAAATTACGTCTGATATTATACCACAGTTCGGTATTCCACAATGGTTCATTAAATCTGTCACGGCTCTGTATTGGAATATTATTTGATTGATAGAGAAATTACGTCTGATATTATACCACAGTTCGGTATTCCACAATGGTTCATTAAATCTGTCACGGCTCTGTATTGGAATATTATTACCTCGGTGATTACTTCTGATTGTGAAACTGGTACATTTAAGAAATCAATTGCAGTTTTCAGGGTGGCACTTTATTAGCATCTTATTTATTCATCATTGTACTTGATTATGTTTTCATACTTTCGCTAGACATAAACTAAAACAAGAATATAGAATTTAAGCCAAGCAGTCAAGTCAAAGAAACGTTGCTCCAATCTCTTGAAGAATCTGTAATTGTAATTAATCAAAGATAGAATACATCAGTAACATCACGGCATCATTGGACCTCAGATCCTTGTCTGGGGCACTCATTCAACGAGTAGAAATACCTCGGTTCCTACATTCATTACAAGCTTGAAGCCCTGGCATTGGAAGGAAGCAACAGATTGAAAAAAAGTCAGGGAATCTAATCTAAACTCCTAACAAACTAAAGGTCAATGTTTTCTCAGCCTTATAAAACCGATCTTGATGTACAGTACAAAAACTTAGTCGCTTACTTCTCAGCTTCAAAATCAATTCAAATTCAAATGTAACTTATACTAAGCAACTGTGCAGGGCACAGAACTCAAAAACATTACTTATCTTGGACACAACATGCTACTCTCAAAATAATTTTGCCATTTCAGTCATTGTCGAGTAAAGTTTGCTGGGTATCGTTGTCGTAAATGTCACTATGTACCACGACCGCAAAGTCAAAATATCAACAGGATTTTTAATTCGCCCGCCCGCACGCACTAGACTGAGGTTCTTGAGAAGATGCCATTTATTAAAGTCAATGTGGCCTGAAGATGAAAACATACGAAAGATGCAGAAAAAACAACCTACAATTCTCCCTATGTAAATTTTCGTTTTAGAACAGTCAATAACCTGTATTGTCTACATCAATTGTAGACAATACAGAGTAATCCAGTGAATTGCAGTGATACAGGCTGGTCTCTGATGAACTAGTATGTTTAAAGTGGAAACTAAATTTCCTCATATTGTCTGAGGCATTTTAAAGCAAAAGATGTTAGGGAATATGCAAATTACTCCCTGTTGTCTATAACCATCATTCCAAGCGCCGGCCAGACAGGTTCTGAATCCCCGTGACTTCTAATCATAAATGATGTTTAAAGAAATTATGTTTGGAAATACAAATATTCTGACACAAAAGTTTCGTTATATAGGGACACTGGGTCCTTGTCCATGGTCACCAATGGTAGTCGCGTAAAAGTTGACAATGCATAGGTATATAGGGTTAGATTAAAGTGTAAACAATAATTCCTGAGCCATAATAACATATCGGTATTAAAGAAACAGACCAATTATGATCTGCAGGCTACCATGAACAATCTCCATTTTGCCATCAAAAATGAAATATACATAAGATCCTTCTTGACTTCTACCATTTTCTCCTGGAACCAATTGCCCCAGACCGCAAAATTATCCCTCCGTTTGTACATTCAAAAACGTATTAGAGTCTTGCTTTGCTAGCGTACTCAGACATCCCCAGTACTCACACGGCCATGGACATCGTGCAATACATCTAACCAGACTTACTGGCTTTCAGACAGATGAACTACCACCTATTCCCATATTACAGTATCACTAGTCCTGAGTGCAAATGTGGGCATCCAAATAAGACACTAGAATACTTGTTGCACTGTTAAACATTAATGAAAGGACTAAAATGTTGTTATCCATGACCTGCTTACATCTTCAAAACATACTCCCCTTCGACAGATTCAACTCAAATGACACCACACTATGCGCGTTTTCCTCTTCCATATTCTACAAATCGCCGTATCTTCTACATTGTGTTTAACTTTATCACATTGCAAGATTTTGGTCAACCTCATTTTATATGTTCTGTCCACTATACGTTTTGTATTTGTTACGCCATCTGCGCCATCTTAATGTTTTATAAGCAAATAATTTTTATAAGCACATTTCTGCCCAATGATCTCAAATCTATGTAAATAAAAAAAAAAGAAAGAAAACCATCTTGGCCTTAATAAAAATTATAACATGATGACCATCCTTACCTTCTAAAGTGAGACCTTGATCTCCAAGCCCTGCCATGTCGTAGTTCTGCTCTACATCCGCATCCTTTTCATCACCGACTTCTGTAATTGGTAGAGCATGCAATATGGACATTAACGATCAGTCCACTGAATAATTGTACTACAAAAATACGAATCTTTAAGAATTACACTTATTGTCTATTTCTTAACAAATGCAGTACTCTCAGGAATGAAAGTAACTCATAGTTGCGGTAGAGGGAAGGTAAGTACATCATTAAAACATCACTGGGAAAATCCAGCCGTTACTTAACCGACATTTAATAAATATCGCTACTGTAGGATGTAATAAGGATGACATGTTACTGTAAAGGACAGTCTCACCTTTTAAAGTTAGATCCTGATCTTGAGTTTCCGCCATCTGGTAGTTCGGGTCAACATCTGTGTCTCCTTCTCCATTCACATCCCCATCTGTGTTTACGGAGGATGTAAATATTCGTTAATCACTAAACAATATGCTGTTTGTTTTAGGAACAGGAATTTTCTGTTGCATGTTTATGCTCTTTTAATGTTGAATAATTTTAAAGCACAGTCAGTGGAAATAGCTCAACGACATAAATCATACAGGTGCTAATCTATTGATTAACAAGTTTATTAAAAACTAATGGTAAACAGGTTAATATATGTAGAAGTTGTATAATTGGTGATAACAATAAAGGTGAAACAAAGCTAGTTAATGTTAGACCTGTCTCCAAAAGCCATGGTTTATCCTTCGGCGTATGGAACATACATGGATTGGCAACAAATAAGAAAATAACGATTTCTTAAGGAGACCTTGAAGCATTTTTTCGACACCATCAGTAGAAATTTGGAGCATACATGGACTTGGCAACAAATAAAAAAATAGCGATTTCTTAAGGAGACCTTGAAGCATTTTTGAAGCAGTAGAAATTACTATATATTCCATTGGAGGAGTACAGGGCTGACCTAGAGATGGCATATCTGTGGTGTCTTCCTCTGTAAAAACACTTTTGAACTGTGAACTGAGTACTTCTGCTTTTTCTCGCTGTCACTGATAATGGTATTACCCACCTTTAGGGGTGCTACCCCGACAAGGTCTTTCCTCAGTCCTTTTATGTACGACCAGAATGTTTTGGGTTTTTCAACTATAGCTTCTCCAAGTATGCCTGCCACGTATTTAGAGTGTGCTCGTCTTATGCTTTTCTGAACTCCCTTTTTAACTTTCTTATATTTGTTCCAGTCTTCTTCTTGGCCTGTTTTCTTAGCTTTGTTATAGAGCCGCTGCTTCTAACGACAGTGCCTCCTTAGGCTTCTGTTCAACCAAGGCAAGTTGTATCTGCTTGATGTTATCTTACTTGGGATGTGCTTGTTCATCGTGTCTTTCATTTTGTCTTTGAAGTCTGACTACTTCTGTGTAACTGACATATCCAGAGTTCTTTTGTGAAAGTTATTTGCATAATCCGTTAGGTCTTTCTTAATCGCTGGTTCACCGGCTTTTGTTTGAATGTATACTTTTCTCTTAGGTTTCCTGTTTTGTTTCGGTGCCAGGTTAACGTCCACTAGAACCATGTCGTGGTCACTTATCCCCGGGACTACTGTGGTCTTCTCAATTATGTTGGGATTATCAACTAAGACCAGGTCCAAGAGATTACCATTTCTAGTTGATTCCTGGACTGTTTGGAATAACCCGTGGTTATCCATTAGGTTTAGTAGTTTCTCTGCTTGGCCTGTGTAGGCCTGACTGTTGTCAGCTACAGTAGTATCCCATTTGATGCCAGGGGTGTTGAAATCGCCAAGAATGATCACATTGTCAGAGTTTATTTTTGCTCCCATTTTACCTATTGACCTGTCAAGTTCATCCAGGCTATTGCCCTGGTCTGATGGGGGTCTGTAGTATGTACCTATTATCAGTGGTTTCCTTCCTGCAAGTTGAGTTTTTGTGTCCACAGAACCTCGCAGTCTGTGTCTAGGTCTGGCTTATGGGTAACAATTAGATCATCCTGTTAGCCTGAAATACACCACCTCCTTGGCCAGTTTGTCTATCTTTCTGGTGTGCTATGTAGTTGCTGGGGAATATTTCACTACTTGCTATGTCTAGGTTGAGCCATGACTCTGTACCTGCTACTATATTTGGCTTGTAGGTGTCAAGTACTGTCGTAAGTTCAGCTGTTTTGTTCCGCACACTCTGGTAGTTTACTAGGAGAAGTTTACTTTTGGATCTCTTGTGACTTTGACCCCTCGTTTGAGAATTACCCTGCTTTGATTTAAGTGGAGTGAATGTAGCCTTTGGAATGTGGCCTGGTAAAACAATGAAGTAAATCACCCAAACCATCAATAAAACTTAAAGGGGGAAATCCTGAAGAGAGGAAATACAACTGCCTAACACACTTCAAATCAGTCTTAGGTTTAACCACAAGGACTGCATCCAAGGCATAACATAAGAGGCTCCTGTTGTGGAAGAACTGGAAATATCAACAGAGCTAGCGCTGTTCACTCAATGAAAACTGGGGTCAGCTCTAAGATCTCCTTCTGACAAGAAATCCCCTGGATTAGGAAGACATTTGTACAGACAAATTTCTGAAGAACCTTCTCTTTTACTTGTAAAACCAAACTTTGATCTAGCATAGACCACTATAGCAAAAAGAAAGAATTTCCCCATCCTCCAAAGGTAAGCTAACATCTACCACTGACTATAGAGGAATCAACTGCATGCCCTTAGGCAGGTAGGCGGGTAGGCATAAGAAAACGTTTACCTAATTACCTAACATTTAGCCTGTAATTGATCCTATTCTTAACAAAATGGATTTAGGGAGCAATATTACCATAAATTACCAATTCATATAAAATCTGTACTGCAAAAGAAACAAAAAATACGTATGTTATAGAATCACATAATATCAAATCTATAATAATAAAGATGGGAATAGAAATTAGGGAAACAAAACTTGAGGTAAATTATAATATAATACATTGCTGACAGCAAATTGTCATCGTCTCTCATTATATGTTAAGTAGTAGACGCCTTTTCTGCGTGTGTTAGAACATGCACATATGATTTATAACAGTGCAACATGGTGTTTGTTCTAGGAAACAACCTTTAGAAAAGTCAGAAAAGACATAGTCGTGTTAGGGTAAACGAAGCAAAACACTTGTAAGAGAATATTCCTGAGCCGTAATCGTACATCCCTAGTTAAAAGCATAGTCGTTACCTTTTGAAGTTGGATCCTGATCTCCAGGTCCTGTCATGCCGTAGTTCTGTCCTACATCTGGGGCCTGTTCACCACCGACTTCTGCATATATTATGGAGCATTGAATATTATAAATAGATATTAATTCACGTAGTATTTGTAAAATATATGTTTTCGTGGATCACGTCAAGTTAAATATAATGTAATGAAAATAAAGCATGGTTGAGGTACAATAAAAGTGAAATATTTGGTAACAGCCAGTAGTCATTTACCGCCATTAGATATTTCTAATGTTAGTAGCTAATAAGACTGTCTGTAAGGAAAAATGATAGTCGTTACCTTTTAAAGCAGAATCTTTTTCTCCAGTTTCTGCCACGTCGTAGTTCTGCTCTACATCCGTTTCTCCTTCCTCTGCACCTGCGTTTAAGGATATGGCGTTTGTTTAAGGAAACAACCCGATCATCTTTAAAAGTTTAACGTAACGTTTATTCCCTTGGAAAAGGTAGATAACACAGAGATGCCTTTAGGCAATATAAAGAAAAACAGTTTTGATAGATGGACAATGATCCCTGACCAATTAGGTGTTAACAAATGTTTTGTATGTAATAAGGTCGGGTTGGCCATCGTTACCTTCTGAAGTCGGATCTTGATTTTGAAATCCTGTCATGCCGTAGTTCTGCCCAAAATATGGGGCCTGTTCACTACCGTATTTTTTGGTTGGTAAAATTAGTATTTTTCAGTAAATTGCCACGTCACGTAATATCTGGTGTACGAAAAAACGTATTACGACAAGTTTGATCTAATATTATGCTCTTGGATAAGAAAAAAAGGTGGTTAACATCAATGACATCCAATGTCATTTTCCGCCATTAGATATTTCAAATGTAATGATTGAAAAAATGTTAGTTGCTAATATATATTGTATATTAAGGAAAATGATACCTATTGTAGTTAAAGATTCCTCTCCGGTTTCTGACTGGTCGTAGTTCTGCTCAGTAACTTCGCCTCCTTCTGCCTCCCCATCTGTGTGTGGTAGAACATGAAGGTATGCTTTAATTATCGTGCCAAATGGTGTTTGTTCTTGGAAACAACCATTTTATTTCACGTTTAACGTCATTCTATTACAAAGGATAGATAATAGATACATGTGTTAGGGTAAGATGAACGCTTTTAAAGACACCTATCCCTAAACCGTAATGGCACATCATTAGTAAGGGGATAAAGGTGTTCTAGGTGTTTTTACATGTGATGTATAAGGGGACGTGGTGACCATCATTACCTTCTGAAGTCAGATTTTGATCTCCAAGTCCCGCCATGTCGTAGTTCTGATCTACATCCGGACCCTTTTCACCACTGACTTCTGTAGTTAATAGAACATGGAATATGGACATTAATGACCAGGCCACTAAATAATTGTTTCACAAAAATACGAATCTTTAAGAATCGCTTTATTTCTTACTAAATGCAGTACTCTAAGGAATGAAAATAACTCATACTTGCGGTAGAGGAAAGGTAATTATCACATTACAAACATCATAGGGAAAATCCAGCAGCCAATTTACCGACATTTAATAAATATCGCTACTGTAGAATGCAATAAGGATGACATGTTACAGTAAAGGACAGTCTTACCTTTTAAAGTAAGATCTTGATCTTGAGTTTCCGCCATCTCATAGTTCGGGTCTACATCTGTGTCTCCTTCTCCATTCACATTCCCATCTGTGTTTACGGAGGATGCAAATACTCGTTAATTACTAAAAATATGATGTTGGTTTCAGAAAATACTATCAAGAATCAATTAAAAAGGTTAAGTTCCATGTTCATTTAGGATCAAATAATTAAGATTTTCTATGGAGCAAAGTCAAGGGGAATAAGTCAGCAACATAAACCATACTGGTGATAATCAATCAATTCATAAAGTTGATTAAAAACTAAAAACATATTGTAGGATTCGTTAGTATACTGTAAATTACGTTTCATCTTTTTATTTACACCTTTAATTTTTTTTAAATATCGCCTGTACTTCGAACATTAAAACGAAAGCTGGGCCATAAAATCATTGAAAAAATTTGTTGACAAGTTTTAGCCTCCTTGGTGTAAGCTATCATTGATTATAGTCTACATCTGGCTACCACGCCGTTAACATGTGATGTCAGCCACTGGGCAAGAAGATAACTAAGTTCAGTTACATGTAGGTTGCACAGAAAACTAAATAAGTCAACCTCCTCCAAACAAGTAAATACAATGCACGGACTACATTGACCTACTAAGCCATGAGCCTGACAACAACACGGCTGTTCGACTGGTGTCTCTAATTACAGAGTCAACAGAACTACAGTTCTCAAAACTTCTAGGAACACGATTGCCGATAGAAATTGTCAACATAAAAAAAAAAATACAGAGAATAATCTTTCTGTCAATTCAACTTTTAAAAAGATATTCTGTATAATTTTAAAAACAGCAGTTCGTATCTAAGAACAACATATTTAACACAACAAATAGCTTTGTCAGTGACTTTTCAGTGACAATACTGCTAAAAGTGTTTATGTCTACAGCAAGTTAAAAAAAGGAGATTGTTTTGACTTTTAAAAGTATATCTTTTTTGCAACATGAAGTGTTTCTTTTATTCTTTAGTCTTGTTGCATTTTGTGGGTCGTTTTGATCTTGATCTGGTTCAGACATTTTTGTCCAAGTCTAGTTCGGAAACCCTAAAAGCATTAAAACGATCTGGTCAGTATTATGCTAAAAACTTTCTTCAATAGTGACTTAACTACTATTTTGCGTTCTTTATGGAAACATTTATAAGTCACACTTATGAATGGTTACCTACTCGCAAGGCACATAGTATAGAAAAGTGTAGCTCATCCTACTACAGTCAAATTTACCTCAATTATTAATATCTTTCACGGTTGCCTACTCTGTAGGTTAATGTGTTATTCTCAATCTAATGTAACTACCAGCTAAATGTAATCAAATCAATTAATTTGAAAACAGGCCCACAAACACATATATACAAAGCAAACAATATAACAAATAAATAACTACTCACCGCTGGGCTCCGGTTCTTTCGACTCAAGACTCAACTTCTTTATAAGGTCCAAAAGCTGGGTCTCTTTAGTGTCAGTTTTTCCTTTGGTGTGAGTCATTGAGGCCTCATCAATGGTTTCCTCACCTACATACAGTATGTTAATAGAATACGTTATGAATTAAGTCACAGCTGTCGTGCATTTTCTACAACAATAAATTCATCATTAAGTTTTTTGCTTGTAACAGCTTACTAATACATGATTTATTTAAAAAAAGAGTGAAACATATATACTTTATTAATGGGAGAGAGACTATAAAAGAAAATAATTTGCAAAGCGTCACCTAACCTGCTAGCAATCTGAGCTGATGCAGGAGCCTCTCTATGTTGGCAGAATCCCCCGCTATGACAAAATAATAAAATTGCGTTAAGACGTCGTCAAGCAATGCGCCGCCGTTAAGACGCCGTCCTAGCTGCCCGGCCAAACTGTAAGAGCAGCCCGGCCGAACTTTAAAAGCCGGTCAGCACCCTACTGCATCCCTCACAATGGGTTGGTAAACACATCTCTGTTTGCATGACAAGTGCACGCAAGGCTAAGTTTGTTTTGCCAGCAAAGGCTTGCCAATCTTTGAGTTTCTTCTCTGTGGTGTTTTTATTGTATCGCCTTTATTTTTTATCTTTTGCGTCATTTCGCTCTCAGTGGGGGACGGGGGTCCGGTATTTTTGATATAGGCTTTTCATTCGTCACTATATGTTGCAGTTTTCTTGGAATGTTCAAAAGACAACAAAAACATGAAAACACGCATTATATCATACCCTTTTCCAAGGTCAATCCAAAACATGTCAATCTCAATCTCAACTTTAAGAATAACAACTTTGAACCTTCGTTTACAAAACGTAATTATTGGGAACAGAATATTTTAACCAGTAAGGGTGACATTATTTCGGCAATCTTTACTTCAATAACTGAAGATATCCTTATTGTTGCTTGATTTGTCTGCTGTAATGGTTATGGTCAAACACTGTGTTAGATTTTCTTTCTCTTATTCTGTGCTTCAAGGCCAGCTTTCAATGATCACTCGTTTTAATCAAACTATTAAAATGTCGCTATATTCAGAAAGAGTGAATACAGTACATACCCATAGCCATGGCCAGGATGATGGCCACGACCAGTGTTGGGGTCCTCATTGTTGTCTGTTGTACCTGGGACAAACACACATCTCAATTACAAATGGCACCCATGTGGCAAATGAACAAATACAGTACGTATCAACTATCTAGGTCAGTGTCTAACAGTAATGGGAGTTGCTTGATCGGAATGCGTGAAAAAAAAAAACTGGAAAACACATTTGTTGTTCTCACCAGTCCTTAAAGTCAGCGATATAAGAAATATCTCACGTACATACATTTATGTTGAATATGATATTTACATTTTCAAAAATTATCTACAACAGCATGCTACCATTTTATGTACGATGATTTACAATTATATGTAACATTTTGTAAACGATTCATATGCTGAGAGGAAAGTAACTGACATATCCCTGCAAAGTATAGGTTTGTGTCTTGTCGTCATGCATGGATTCGTAGAATAAAGCACGTAGCAGTAATGGTGATTTTCTACTGACGGGCAATTCCGGTTCTTATCTTTAGAAGTCAGTACTTGTGACCAAAAATACAAACCAACGGCGGTTTTACGCATGGAGTTTAGTTCGTCACAAATTTAAGTTAAACGATTTTTAAAAACAAATACCGAGAATATATCTCAGTCATGTATGCAAAAGAAAGATGTGTGTACAGGGTTTAAAACAATGTCACTTACCTTGAGCGTCGAAACTTCCTTATAGAACTGCTCGAGTGTCTGTAACAGGCTAACCTAGCTAAAACCAAGCAAGGGTAAACGATACTCCGAGAAAGATTGACGGGTATTGTTTGGGCTGGGCCAATATGGGAACGACCTGTTACGACAAGATGAAATACTACCGTTTTTCTTCTTGCTGAAAAGCCACCACCAGAACCCCTTATCTCGAGTGATCAAAGTTTACCGCAAAGGTAAACAATAAAAGGTGATAAATTGGGAGAGTTTTATACCCTTTGTGTACCTATCACTGCTGACCGGGGGACTACATTGTTCAGGCACGATGGTGTAATACTCCACTAAATATGACGCCTCTTGTGGACGAATATTTAACCTTTTGTCTTCTGTTTGGCACAAAGCGTAACGTTGCAGTCGCAGGTTTAATATTTAAAACACGTCCGGGGATGTACGGCTAATTTGACCCCCCCCCCCAAGAACTCACGAACGGTATGTCGTATGACCACCAAATTTTTAAAAGGATGGTGTATTCGTAAACAATTTGTTTGTCGTTATGACGTTATATGACATTAATGTGATTTTATTGGCCAAAACTGTCTAGATAGGTTATTCCCTGAAAACTAAATGGTATGCAACATAACTTTACCAAAAGTGTTCATGACAGAATATTACGGTGTACTAAGTCTTAAGTTGCCCATAGCAACACCGGTGACGTCATGATATCCGCCATCTTGGATCATCTATCTTATATTTTCGAAAATAGTTTTTTCATGATAAAGCCTAAAATACATTGTAAACATGCTAAACACCTTCATTTAAACCTTTTTTGGAAAAAGAAATGGAAGTATTGATGAAATTTTAAGGAAAATAACCTGTATATACTTGTTTTAATGATATGGTCCGCCATCTTGGATTTTCGCCAATGACGTCATCAAATTAGCATAAATTATTTTCTTTTTCACGGTGTCGCTCAATGCAAGGCCATAGGCCACTTCTAGGCATAGAGCTAGCCTGTAACTGTAACAGCAACTCTTCTCCCTGAGTCAGAAACATCCTCACAAGTAGTGAGGGACTAACTGACTCAATGGGAAAAGCAGGGGTTACGAGGCTCGGCGGGAAAATTCCCTACCCCTTTTTAGACCACAATGGTTTGTTCCACTTCCGCTCACGTGGGTTCTTTAACGTGCTTGAGGTGTGTCTTTCCTCAAACACGGGACCTCCATTTAACGTCCCATCCGATAAGACGCCCCTAACCGAAGCTAGGTACTCATTTTCACCTGAGTGAAGTGAGGAAAGTCGTGAAAGTACCTCTCCCAAGGGTACAACGTCGCGGCGCATGTTCGGACTTGTTCGGGTACGACCCGGAATCGAACCCGGGTCCCCCGTTTCATAGTCCTGTGATGTACCACTACATCACACGACGCCACACAATTATGCATATTTAATGATAAAATTTATATAAAATTATACGGGATGTTATTGACATTAAAACCCATGAGTAA